AAAAAAAAAAAAAAAAAAAAAAAAAAAAAAAAAAAAAAAAAAAAAAAAAAAAAAAAAAAAAAAAAAAAAAAAAAAAAAAAAAAAAAAAGAAAGAAAAAGCTTAAAGCTAGGAAACTAGTCACATTACTTGCATACATGGAGCCTACACTATGAAATGCAGGAGATTAAAACTCAATTATTTATAATGATATAACATATAGCTTCCTTTAAAGGGGCAAATGCATGCTCAGCTCTCAACAGTGAAGCTGAATCCTCCTTTTCAAAAATAAATAAATAAATGTTCACAATCTTTTTAAACAAGGCTGCTACAAGAGCAGCTCCCATCTGCACAATAGGTATGTTTTGTAAAATAATATGCAACAGTTACCATCTTACTGTAACCACCAGCATTTGGGATCAGTTGATACAAGCCACATTTACTACAGAAAGAAGCACTGGTGGTTGAACAGACTAGTATTATCATCAGTTATTGGAAACAAGTCACTTAAGAAAACAGAACAAGCAAGCAAAAGAGGCACCTCACAACCTCCACCTTCATTCAGCAGTCTGGACTAAAAAGATGATAAAGGCAGATGAAAAGCTGCCACATTACCAGACACCCACACACATCACAGACAAAAAGTTGACTGCAGTACAGTAACCTCTTAAGTGCTGCTTCCCAGAGTGCAAATGCAGGTGATGATTAATTGTTTTACTGTACAGTGCTCTATGCCTCTAAGAGAAATGCATTCACAGTTTAACAACAGCAGATAGAAATACAGATCAGCCTGTTCCAACCCACGTGAAGTGGGAGGGATACTCCAGCCTTTAGAAGTGGTCAGGAATGGTGCCACTTGCAATGAGACCAGGAGGTCATGCTGTGGCTTCAGAGACTGAAAACATCACAGGCCATACCTCAGTTAACAGCTGACACCCTGCAGACAGGAGGGGTTTCAGCATATAAAATTATATATTTGGCCCTGGAAAATGTAGCTCTTTTCAGAACTTTCCAAAAGGATTATCAGAGGGAAGGGTTAAGCTCTTCCAAGTCACTCACCACATTCTGCTTGGTCGTAGCTTCCAAGGTCTGGATCACATAAAGCCTGTTTCTGCAGCGCATGCTCTCAACATCCTCGTAGCGAATATCACCGTACCTCTAGGAAGAAAAGCACCATTCCATGCAGTCAGCTGTTGCCAGACACATCTAAGCAGATGGGTTTGCCTTTCTTGCAGCTAAGTGTAATACAGGTACAGACACAAAGGAAGATCCCAGAAACTCCGAGAAACAAATAATTTATTGGAGCATTAAGCTTCTCCCTAACCCATGTAACTTTTAAAAGTGTTTAAAAGGTGTTTCAAACAGTGACGGAGAAAAAAGAAACTGGAGTAGTTCAGTGTGTCAGAAGACAAAGGAAGGGATTTTACTGTGTGTTGGCTCTATACCCAACTCTGCTATCACATGGTAACTACTACTGCAGGGCAGCAAAGTCTAAGGTGTGCATGTTGTCAGGGTTTGAAGTTCACTCTAGTGAAATTTAGAAATAAGCTAAGTAATTTATGAACTGTTTCTAGCTGCCTCTGGAATTTCTGAAGGACAGGGAAGGTGTCTGAGCACTGGAGTAGAATAAATACATTTACCTTTAAGGAAAAGTGGGATAGCAGGCAAAAAACTAAAAATAAATTCTCCAAGAAATCATGCAACAAATTATTAAACAATTAAAATCTAAACAGAAACTGATAAATCAAACCAGGCCAACATTTTTTCTCAAGACTTTCACATAATCTCATTTATCTTGTGAGCACCCATACAAAGCAACAGTATCACAAAGAATAACTCTGTTTATTCTTCATTACTTATAACCAGACCTATCTGAAGAGTGGCAACTCTCCATTGCAGCAATCTTCCCATTTTGAAATTTATTTTATTTCCATAGTGATATGAAAATAACACCCTTCACCAGACCAGAACTGTGTTGAAATTAACTGCCTGGTCAAAATGGGAAGAAGGAAATTGTCTCTCACTTTGTATCAGCCGTTCTCAAACCTGGGGTTGTGGCACTTACCAGCACTGAAGAAACCTGGTTTCAACTGAAGATAAAAATTTGCAACTGAAAAAGGGGTTATGAGAGAGAAATGGGGATATGGGCCTAAGAACAGGGCTGACAACTTGGAACCGGGAGATTCAGGTTCAAAGTTCTGCCCAAAACTGTTCAAAAGCCATATCAAACCAGAGACTACTGCTTTGGTGCAGTTCCCTGCCTGCAAAGGCAGGGCAAGTAGAAAAGCATCTTCTTTTGCTTTGTCTTTCAGTCCTGGTTTCACCTCTGTGAAAGCCTCAGCTCCCACTTCTGAATGCAATATACAGCACTTCATTATTTACCACCTCTGGTCTCCAATCTACAAGTATTCAGCCTCACTTTGAGAACTCATCATGCAAAGAAAGACTCAGAATAGTTTTCAACTTTTCTTTCAAGAATCTTAAAGCACCTCCCAAACATGATTTTTTAGTATAATATTATTGTAAAGCAATACTGATAGACCAGATTTTTATATGATTAGCCCAATGCTAAAAAGACTGTTCAAGGGAAATTGAATTTCTGATTCTTGTAATTGTTCACCCCATTAAAAGCAATGCCTTCTTCTCAGTAAAAAATCAAAAAAGACAATTTCTAAATTATACAAATTACAGTTAGTTCATCTTTTCTGAGTCAAGGTCAGGACATCTTTTCCAAAATAGATGAACTGAGGCTCTTTCACTAGAAACATATGAATGAGAATCAGAAAAGAAAAATAATTATACAGATAAAAGAAACTAGTTAATAAAAAAAACCCAAATGTGATCAAATCTTTTATCTCAACTTCCTTTCACTTCTGAGCAGAAGCTCTGGGCTGAGCAGAAACCTATCTACAAATACATTAATACTCTGACAGAAATCATGCCAAGGAAAAAAATGCCTCATGAAAATCTGGGGAAAAATAGGAGAAGCTAGATATATTTCCTGCCCAGTGAAAAGCTCCAAAGCTTAACATTGCAGAAACCAAACCTGTAAAGGTTTTCAGTGAGGTTGAACAAAATAGAGCCCCATTTCTACCAATCTAGGCAGATTTTCTACCCTAGTTTGCACAATGCAGTTGCAGTATTTTTAAAGTAGTCCAGGAAACAAACACTGCATGGGATGCAAGAACATACCCCCAAGAACACATACTTCATTTGACTCTCGGATCAAATCTGTGATGTCCACTTTTGGGTGGTCACTCTTTGTATCACTGAGGTTGGAGCCTTGCTGCACAGTTGGAGGCAAAGGACTGTCTTTGTTAATGACACTGTCAAAAAATCTGCGCAAAGCAAACACATGAGAAATCAGCAGGAACCAATTTATCACCAGAAAACAGCAGCATTGGCATCTACTGAAGAAAAAGTACACAGAGAAGGGGATATAGCAAAGAATTTGAGAATCAGTAGCAAAAATGTGCTGCAATAGTAACAAAGACACACAAACGTGGGAACTGCCCACCCAGAAAAGGTTCCAGCCATGGGAGGTTTTAGTCAATACGTTAGTGATGTATTGGCTGATGTGAGCTAGTGTGAGCAGCAATCCTCTTTGGACTGGGAAGTTAAATTAGACTCTTGCCAAAGTGCCTTCCACTTGGCATTTCCCTGGTTCTCTAATCCATCACTTCATACTTGGGAGAGGGAAAAAAAGGTTGTCCTGAACTGTGAACGAGGCAACATTAATTCCCCCAGATGCATAAGCCAAAGACAGGCCTGATCTGCACCTGCTTAGCAGACCTGCATCACCAGCCTAAATAAATCCATTAGATTTTACAAAAAACACCAGGTTGCATGGTCTACTATAACAAAAATTACATCTTTCTCAATAATTCTGTAGCTCCTACCCCATTCAAATGTGTAACATTTAAAAGCCTGGCAGTTATAGCAGCTGCTACCAGACCAAAAGAATAACAGTTACACTGATACCTGTTGAGAACAGTGACTGCTTCTGCATCATCCTTACAAGTGAGCAACTTCTCCATGTTGTATTCCAGCACAGCAAGGCCCAGCTGCAAGATTGCCTTTATTCCATCATAGAAGAAACAGTCCACCACATTGACTGCACTTTCAAAGGGCAGCACACTGATAAAAAGGGTAAGGAACCAGGAGAGAGAGACCGAGGAGAAAAAAGTCATGTCCGTCATGTGGTCTGTCAACTGAGGCAGGTGAACCCTGATGAGCTCCTCAAACACTGCCTGATCTACCAAGGCACCTGCAGGGAAAGGATGACAAAACCACCACCCAAATCTTAATACAGAGAAGCACACTTTTCTCAGAGCATCAGCCAGAAATAAAGGCCCTGTCCTAACGCAGCTCTGTTATAAAAGCACACACAGGCACAGCATTGAACCATTGGCTCCCTTCCCTAAGCTGGAAGCTGTGCACTCCACCCATGGTCCAGCCTTGCTGCAGGCTTAAAGGGTATCAGCACTTTGGTGAGGGCATGGCTGCTTCCAGTGACTCCCCTGACAGCCAATACACCCTCTCTGCAATGAGAGAGAAACTTTACATCCAACTTGTTTCCAGCATATACACCTGTAAGAACTGCACAGGAGATCAAAGGCTAAGTCTGGACCTGAAGTAACCCTTTTTCCTTTATTTAAGCTGTCTGAGTTTCAAATAAATAGTATGAATTGCAGTTATAATTTCAAAAGAATAGTATATTAGTCTAACTGAATAATTCCTGAGTAGTTATGCCTAGAGTAATGACAGTATCTGAAAATCACATCCACTCCTATTTAAGGAGGAGCCATGGGATGCTCTCTGTAACCTCCATCTTCTACTCCACAATACTGAATCAACAGTTTCTCTACACTGGTCAGTCTTTAGCTCACTCCTTTCACTAATGAATGACCATTTACATTCAATTCTAGACAGATAAAAAGAGAGATGGATGTTACCAATGATTCGACGATTGAAGTAATCGGGGAGCATCCTTTCACACACAGCAACCAAAAGCCAGAAGGCTTCCTCCTCTTTAGCATACAGCAGAAGCACTGATGTCAGAATATTCATTGCCTGTGACATTTAAACAGGAAAGGAAACACAAGGAAAGATGGCAAAACCACAACTGCTATCATTAGTCAGAATTTGTATTTCTGAAAGCACTTTACAGCATGTTTTTAGAGTGCTGGGATAACCTACAGCCATATCCAGTATAAGACTTTTGCTTCTATGTTATTAAATACAGAACAGAGTATTTGAACTATATACAAATATTTTTAAATGCTAAATGGCTAGTTAGAATGCAAACACATTTATGAAGTGGACACGAAGTAGCATTTATCAACAAATTCAAGTACAAGTAAAAACTCATTACACAGGAGGATGACATAAGCGAAGTAAGTGAACCATTGAGCAAGAAACCATTACACATTTCTCTGACTGATTTCATGCAGTGCTCCTACACTGCCATCATGAGCTAATAGACAACCAACACCGTGACTCTCAAAGCTGCTGTACCTGACAATATCCAATTTGAGGATTCCTGTATGCATAAGCTGTGAGAACTCTCCTGAGTGCAGAAATTCCTGTGTCACTTTGAAAAGCAGGATGCTCGGGTAAGGAGCGACGCAAATCCCGTTCAATTTCATCAGTAGCCAAAGTGCACGTTCCTAAGGACTTTTCCACCAGCTCAGTGTAATAACCAGGGTTGGATGCCATATCATTTACAGCACCTGCCAATACACAGTATTGCATGGTAGTAGAGGACAATGGTAAAGTAACTATGTGATTGTCTGCAATTTATGTAAAAGCTTCTGGTGACTATTGAGGTACCTCATGAATCTCCAGATATTACTGTAGTAATGTACCAGAGTAATTCTACTGAAATTAATGGAATTACTCTGAAATGAAAACAGAAAAGCGAAATAAAATAAGGCTTGGAGGAAATCTAAGTCACTTTCCATTATAAAGTTGATTTTGACTAACTTTTTTGTTTGTTTGGGGAGAGGGGGCTTCCTTTCACCTACAATTTTGCCCAGCTTTTCTGAGGAGCACAATATCTTCCCACTTGTAGAGCTGAGAACAGACAGGGAAAACTAGGCAAAAGATTATTATTTATCTAATGAATTCTGTATCTGTTATGTCATCACCTCCTCAGACAGAGATATTGGGCTGGAGCATAAATGTCTGTGTAACTCTCAAAGAACACTGGTAAAGATCCATGTTCACGCATCCTCAAAAGGAACAACCATACAGTAGGCTGTATGAGGAGGATAAAGTGCATTTGTTACAATAAACAGATCCTCTGGAAGAGGAGGAAGCTCTGCCCAGGAACACACAGTGAGCACAGCAAGCAGATAAGATCCTGGGTGGCTCCTCCAAATCTGCAGCTTATTTTCTGAATCTGACACAGGCTTCCTGGGTGACCTTGATCAAGCCAGTGGCTGCTGCTTTTTTCTAAGTGTTTCAGTGAACAGGAACAGAACTACTGCAGAGCAGCAGGGTCTTAATTCCCTGGGCCTCTATTTCTTCAAGTGATGTGCTCTGACACAAGTGTGTTCTACAGAAGTAGGCCACAAATGCACACTCAGAGCTTGGACAAGAGATCTCGTATGTGTAAGACAGTCCACAATTCCTGTACAGTCTCACTCTTTAAACCAAGCAAAAGCACGTAGCAAATAGCTGCTTGTAACTGGGGCCAAATTCTCCGCCAGGAAAACATTTTCTGTGCGTCTGGTAACACTATCATCTCTGAAAGCTTAAACCAAAACAACACAAGTCCCACAAACATGCTTTTCTTTTTAGCAGGTAAAGAGGCTTTGCTGAAACTGACTGTCCCCTGGGACAGCATGTATTACTATTACTCTTTTTCAATGGAGTTTATTGTAAAATAAGCAAACTCTTGTTCGTGATTTTGAAGTGTCTTTCTTCACTTCAAAGGTTTGGACAAAATGCCAGAGGTAAGAGCACTTTTTGATAGACTAGAAGTCAATAACTAGACTATTTTCAGTAATTAGAACATCCATACAGCAGAGCTCCCAAAAGAACCAGTTAGACTTATTATGCAACACCTGAGAAGAGCAGCCAGAGCTCTCCTCTTAAGGTCTCTGGGATCCCTCGTACAACCAGATCTCGAGTCTTCTTTGTTCGAAACATACTGACACCATGTCCCCGCTCGGCAAAGAGGATGTTCCATAACTGTTCCTTCATTTTTTCTTTCAACTGTGAAAAGCACGAGACAAGAAGCATTAAGTACACTGGTACATTCTCCTCAGGTTTCAGAGAAAAAAAGTAAATTTTGCTCACAGTTATGTAAACTGGAAATTACAGCATTGGCATCTGTACTGATGTGTGAAATGAATGCTGAAGCAAATCAGAACAAAATCCAGCCTATGCATAGCACAGGTTTGGCATAAAATGTCACCTCCTACATGGCCTACTATTCTTTAAAGTATATTATTACAAGAAAGTCTACACCAGATGAGACAAAAGGTAAATCTAATCCAGTATCCCACCTGACACAAACCAACAAGTGCCACAGAACGGTAAGGTCAAACAAACATTTTTCTGAAGCAAAGCAACTGTTGATAAGGTGCTGCAGCTCATGTGAGGCTCCTGAGCATTTCTGTGCATGCAGCACTAAGATTTAACATTGTTAAAACAATTAAAGGTGCCAAAAGGAAAAGTAGATTTTGTCCACTTTTGCTCAAAATACTATAAAAAACAGAATTTTAAAATCTGGGCTCCCTTTTGTCCTGCCCAAAGGACAGGACATTTATTTTCTAATTTCTAAAACAAACAAACAAAAAAATTCATATCTTAGTTTACCCAGTTCTGCTGAAAGACTTATTTTCAAATAAAATCTGTCTTCTTGCGTACGCTATGGAGAAGCAAAAACTGGATGTCATACAGCAAAAACAATCAAATAAACATTCTCCAGAGCATAACTTTGTTGGGCAGCAGTGCAAAAGAATGAAGGAAAGAAGAAATTAAGTCAATTTCTTACAACATTCTCCTTGCTCCCAAAGAGTTAGTAGTGACTTTGTATCCTGACAATTCAGATAGAAATGAAACATGCTCACTATCATAAAACAAACAGCCAACTCTTCCCTGAGGGGTGGAAGAGGAGGAGAAATTAGCTCCATGAAGATAAGGCATATCATTATTAAACAAGATGAGCAGCAAATTGAATGGAGCCACGAAGAAGCACCCTGTGGACTCCAAATACAGAAAATGCAGATGAAAGAAGACTGGCAAAGCCCCAGAGGAAATCAGCAGCCTTGCTGGAATACATTTTCATATACTTCAGTCCTTTGCAATTAGATTCCCCAAACTGTTGGCCATTTTATCCCTTACCATTTTAGAGTCAAGATTCTCAGAATCCTGAGGGTGGTAGACAGTCATTAGGGCTTCTGTACCCACAGTTTTGCTGTTATCTCTCTGACCCATCTTTGACGGTCCCGCCTCAGAATCCTTTGGATGATCAGAGGCAGAACCAGCTGCAACCTTGAAAAAAATTTAACAGTGGGTGGTTATAAATGACAAACAGTCCTCCAAGAAGCAGCACTGATACCAGACCATCATTGTTTGTTATATTAAGTTACAGGTACCAGAGACAGACTTCCAAAATAAATAAAAAACAGCAGTCACTGCTCCACATAGATGGGCTTTCAGGAGTCAGCATTTGAAAAAAAAAAAAAAAGCCAAAAACTGAATTATGAAAGGACAAATAATGACAGTGACAACTGAGAGAACAAGCACAGACAGGGAAGTCTGACCATTCATCACCACCAAAAGAAAAACATTCATACAGTGAACTATACAGAAAAGCTGAGAACACTCAAAAACCTCTTTAGAACTGGGATTGTTTTTCAAAACACAATAAATAACAAGGGAAAAGAACCCAAAACAGAACGCATCCACAGTAGCACCATTGTTTAACCCATTCTCCTTCACATGGGCAGTTCCTTATTTTTCCAAATTTTAAAACCAGAGGTACATGACTTATGTCAAAATAATGCAGATATAACTCAAAATAAGGTAATCTAAAAGGGAAAGCCCCTGAGCAGCAAACCTCATTACCCGGGTGCCCCAGGGCTCTGCTGCGCCCTCATTTCTGCCAATATCAAACTATCTTGCTTTTATTGCTCATTTTTGTCTTTTAAGAATTAAAATCTGGAGGTAGAGATTTTGCTGATTCACTGATTACTTTCTACCAAAAGGTATTTATTGGTACACTTCTCCACTCTTACAAATGCCACTTTAGGGGCTACTCCAGCTGATTCTAATTTTTTTTCAGGGTAAATTCTTCATGGAAGAGATACTGCAAATATAACAAATAATGCTTCTTAGGGATGTTTTGTCATTGGTTTCTTATTTTTCATGCCTGAAACCACACATACAGACTTCTTTATATCTGGAAACAACCTTACAATCATTCTATCAACTTCCTAAGTCAAACAATAGGCTGACAAAAACGGACACAGCTACATGTAATTTTACATCACACTAGTGGAATTTTGGTTTAATGTAAATGGTCTGAAGGCAAGAGATGGGAACACATTTTCTCAAAAGAGAAAATTAAAAAAATTTAGACAACTTGAAATCTAGAGGTACAGTGGACACTGTACTACCTTGTGTCTAGAGTCAGGGCATTACACAGCAAAACACTGACAATGATACATAAACTCTTAATAAGACCACACAACATGATTCCTAGAAACAGGTTTTAAGAAACTGGAGTTAGCAGAGCAGCTACCTCTGTAGTTATGACATGTTGTGGACTCGAAGTTGCACTGCATTTCATTCTGAGCTTTGCCACCAGCTGTTCGAAATCTCTGACCTCTGTGAAACGAAAAGCTGTTTTTCCTTTGGTGCTGATGCTGACTCCTCTGTTGGCTGGATCTGCCCTATCCACCCCTGTGACCTGCGGAACCAAGGATACATAAATTAGGTAAGACATTTCACCAGCTTACTTCTAAAAGAGCAAGCTTGTGAAAAACACACATGTAAATGAAACAGTGGGTATGAAGCACCACACAGATTAGCAACACAAGTTACAAGTTGAAAGTTTAGTGGCCTGGAGCTATTTTAGCACAAGGTAATAAGAATTATGCAAAAGATTTTTGACAAAGAACCAGAAATCTTCAAAAAGGTTTTCCCAGTTGTGAGTTCTCAGTTTGAAAATCTTGTCTCCTTACACCTGCTGAAGCTGTTGCTTTTTATTTTTTTTTACCATCCAAAAGCAGACAAAACATGACTTTTGCAAGTAATCAAATGAAACAAGTTTTACAAGACTGAACTTCCACTGGGAATACCCTGTCAAAGACAGCTGTCATAACACATGACAGCAGGAGCTGACTTTAATTGCCATGATGGAACAGTCACAGATTAGAGCAGTTAATACACTTTAATCATCCAAGTACAAGTGTGACAATCATGAAGATCTGATGCATTCACATTGTTAAAGGTAAAGAATGGCAAACCACTGAAATGAGGTAACTCTGCAGTACTGTAGAACAAACAGCAAGGGACTGGCAGTCCACAAGAATAAATTTAGAGTCAAGTTCCTTTAAAGCAGCCTCTTATTGTTTTTCACAGCTTATGAAAGTCTTCATTGTTTGCAGGACTATTTATAGATAATCAAATAAGTTGCTTTATCTAGCCGGGAAACACGAAGTGTTGTTGAAATTAGTACAGCTCACTCCCTATGTCAGTTGTCTTATGTCAGGCAGTGAGTACACAGAGCATGTAAAGCAATTACAGAGCAATTATAGAACCTGATTAATTTGTAGGCTACTGTAATCTGGATGTTGATGAAAAGCTTTTAACATTGGAAGACTGATGTTCCAGATCACAAGAAGTCAAGACAGGGATGCAGAGTTGTTTGGGGTTTTTTTTTTATCCTCTATATTTCTTTACTTTTTGTCTCGAGAATTAATTTATCTCCCATTAACTTCAAGAACTAAGCACATTTTTTCTAAAGTTTTAGAAATTTTGGATTCTGTACCCAGCTACAGAAACAGGAGTAAATAGAAAAGGGAAAGAGGATGCAGGAACAAATCTGAAACATGAAAGCAGTTCTATAAAACTACAAACAGTATCCCGGATAGGGGGAAATACATGACATCAGATAAAGTAAGAAGATTCTAATGAAAATCTGCTAAACTGGCATTAAACTACACAACTGCAAAACTGCTGGTGTATCTGGCAGACTGGTAGCTCACATTACCTCTCTTAGTGGAATGATTACACTGCACATGCTGCCATCCTGGCTAGCAAAGCAGATGTAGTTTTCTGAAATGCACATTTTTCCATGGGTATTGTAATGAATGAAAGGAACCCACAAGAAGCACTCATGAACTTCCTTCAAGGTCTCTTCTTTAGGCAGCCTGAAGAATGCACTAAACTGCTCACTGTGGGCACGGCTCTCTAGGCCTCTGGATTAAAACAAAACAAAACAAAACAAAAAGATAGAAAAGAGAAAAGAAAAATTAAATGAGTTTTAAATGTCTTTACAAATACAAAAGTCAAAAATATCTTGGGAAAAGACAGTAAAATATCATGCTTTCCCATAATACATGGGGTCAGTCTGGAGGGTTCAATGTTTTGCTTGAAGAGGCAACAAAGGGTCGGACCACACCTACCTGTACAGCCACTTAACAAAATACTTAAATATGTCACTGAACAGGAATAAATTCAATCATGTCCTTACACAGTAAAGCACTGTGCTGAATCAGGGCCTATAGGTAGTGCAGAAAAAGATACTAACAGCCTGATCTTCTCTGTTTCCCCACACATCAGAGTAATCCCCTTAAAACTAAACCCAGTTTTGGCCTGACAGCGGGTTAATTAGGTAGAAATGTAGCACATGTTGTAAACACCTGCCATACTCTACTTTGTCACAGATAACTGCAGCCGGAAACAATGTTTTGGTTGTAGAGCAACACCCCTCTCTAGCACTGTTACCAAACTTAGGGATCAGTTTGGTCCAATATTTTAATGAGACACTTGGTTAAGAGAGCAACACCTTTGCTGGCATTTACAGATCTCTTGGAGACAAGGATTCTCTTCCCCTTTGCCTAAACAAGCACTGGGCCCTCATAGACAAACTCTAAGCAATACATTACCTCTTGGTGATTTGCAGAGGGTCGTGGAGGACAGGATCATTCTCAAATGTTTCCTTGTCAAAAAGTCTCCTAACAGCATAGTTTGCCAGCTGCTCCATGAGAAGGAATGTTTCACTAATGTGCAAAAACATGGAAAAATAATGATCTTCCCCACGGGAGCATACATGAATGCTCTCTGTCAGAATTACATTGGAAGTCTTCTCAAGCCTTGATATCTCATCCCAGGAGATAATAAGTTTTACTGAAAATACAAATATAAGGAGATGTGAGTCACTTCTCAGTAGCTACTACTCTTGTATTAAAAAAAGCAAAGCAATAGTCAGCAGCACTAAGAAAATATAATTAAGCAACATAGTTAAATGGTAGCACATTTGGAAAGGGCTACAAACTAACAAGCCCAAAACCCATTCTCCTCACATTTCCTAAAAAATAATTCCATTAGAATGAATTTTATAGAAAGAAAAACATTACAAGCCACACCATGTATGACAATACAAGCTTACACCACGTTTTCTTTGCTCTTATGTGGAACTGCAAATGGCAAACACACCACCATATGAGCCAACCCCCTTCAACAGCTCATCAACAGGGCTGCTAAATTAAATCAACCACGTTTGGCATGCAGAGGAACTGTGACCATTAACTATGGCCTCTCCCAGTACAGATAAAAATTAGCTTTGAAAGCATCCTATCTTCTTTATGCTTTCTATTTTTCACAGAAATGCAGTTACAGTTCACACTATTTGAGGCATTTGTTTGGGCATTTCAAGCTAATGTTTGAAACCAGGAAAAAAAAAGGTATGTGCAATTATCACCAGTGTGTAGTGCACCTATGTGAAATATTAAGGCTGTGTGTGAAGACATAACTGTAATCCTCACAGACTTAATAATGCAGCATGATCTAAAGATGATGGACAGTCTGTCTTCTTTCTGAAGCTTGTATGGAGGAAGTAAACTAATGGATAATGTGTAGTAAGTTACACAAATGTATTCATTTCCATAAATTATTTTATGTTGGTAGTTTTTTCTCTCCTATGTTGACATCTGCTCACATGGCAAAATAGCTCCCTTGGGAAAAATTCTTCCTAATCTAAGGGACAGCAGTACAGCATGAAGGGACTAGGCTTAGCATCCAGGCTTACTTACCTTCTGCTCCAAGCAAAAATGAGTAAAAGCTAAGGAAGTTGGTACTAAGATAAAGCCATCCTTGACAGGGCACTCTGCCCTTCCAGTAACTGCACGAGTAATAGGTAATCAACTTCTCCTGCTCTGGTAATCCAAAACACTTCTCAAACTTCATGAGACCTTCACGAAACTTCTCAGGATCATCTTCTTTTACAAAAGAACTTTTTCCCTCTTCAGCAATCAAACCCTAAAACAAAAAATCCTGTTATTTTATATATGCATCCATGGGGGGGGGTGTCATATATGCACCTGCCTACACACAGCACATGTCAAACAACCTTACTTGGCTGCAGGGCAGAGAAACACGAACAATGGAATGTGTTAAAGTTTACAGTAACATACTATTCAACCAGAATTAAGCAGCATTACAATGCTGTACTTGGATATTCTACAGGGAACATATTATGCACGTATGGTTAGAGAAAAAAATACTTACCTTTCCCAATTATGTCACGTGCCTATTACTTACTCTTATCTTTCCCTGGACAAAGCTCGTAATATCTTCATTCGAATCAAATACAGATAAAGTCTTCATAACATTGTGTTCTAACCACTCCCAGTGTTCTGTTATTTCTTCTCTGCTGGATCCTGATTAAAAGAGAAAGTTATTATTGCTTAAAATCAGAAGAGACTTTCACTAAAAGTATTAATCAAGAGAATACTTAGCAAACACCTGATCTGCAGAGTAATTTAGCTACACAAGCCCAAATCACAAGTCTCAAATTTCTTGTTACCTCTTGTGTACACTGCAAAGGTACTTGGTGCACATAAAACATGTGCAATGCTGTGTTTTTATCTTTCAAGCCCTTTATGCAGATCTATTTCTGGCCTTTGGATCCAGAAGCATCTCAGCTTTGTCAGCACTGTGTGGGCTCGGTGCTAAAGCCTGACTTGGACTGACAGTCCCTTCCTCTCTGCAGCACCTCCCCAGCACAGACTCAGCATCACTACAACACTCCCAGTCTAATAGTCTAGAATGTGGGAAATGTGAGACCAAACACATGAGGCTCAGAAGAAAATGAAATCTAGGCCTTTGATATCCTCAGCTCTTTGATCACTGGCCCGTAACAGTTTCCAGATCAGAATTTCAAGACTGGGACCTGCTGTGCAAAACCCCTTCTAACATGTGAAGATGTAAAGCAAACATCACCAGGAGGCAGCAAAGACTGAGATGACATGAATGAAACAGTAGAGTTCCAGCAAATTCACTATCAAGTCAGTGCTTTAAAGACAGGTGACTCCTCAACACATGCTGGAGGACAGAGAGAGGGAAGGAGAGGGAAAGAATTCATATAGGTTTGAATAAAGGCATTCTAGAATATAAATTAATTGGCAGCTTCATCCTCCACAAGAATGCTCACAAATCAAATCAGTCAGTGTAATTACATGCTACCAATACCCCCAAGCAAGAACACACCTTTAACAATTGCTTTTTTCTCAGCTTACTTTGTAAAGGCTAATTAAACAACTTTCAACAGACTCCACAGAATTAATTAAAGTGGCCTTGGGATTGAATAGAAATTGCTCTAAATACAGTTAAATAGTCAGACTGTATTACACCAGGTAGATTTGCAACAGCACTTAAAAAAATTATATGAAGAGTAATTAAAACAGCAATTAAAGAGCGAAAGCAATTCTTTTTCTCAGACTACACAAGTAGACTAATTATTTGAGTCACGGTGTGAATCAGATGTACAAAGGTGACATAAGAAAGATGAAACTATTTAAAACTTGTTTAAATGGTTTAGGAGCACTGTTTCAGACCCTTAACGTAAAAAGCAGGAACAAAATGTCATTCCATCAATTTCTTCATGGAACAAACAATCTGTTTTCTAACAAAAAGTACAATTACATCATGTAACCTTTTGGTGTAAAGTGTATTTGTGCAGCAAAGAATTTACATAAATTCAGTCCTAAGATGAAGACCACCCTTTGTATTTTCCCAAGGGCTGACCTGATGGCAGAAGAATTCCCCAGAGGATACTTCCAATAGATGTACCAAAGGACCTTTTTGATAGCCTGTCACCACCAGTTCTGATGACTTCAGAAGTGGTCCTGAAATGTATTTACTGCCAATTCACAAACTGTTCAAATTCCATCCGCTTAATAAGGCTGCCCTTTTCAAACGACACGCAACGAATTACATTAAATTAAAGCTACAAGAACAAATGCGCATTTTGCAGACAGCTAACTGCATAGAAAAGACAGCAAGAGGCACATGTTTTCATTTAAGGTGATGCACTGAAGATTCCTAATAAAGAGATAACAGCAAAATCCAATGTAACAACAGTCTAACAGTTCCTAGGGCAATTACTCACGCACATGTGTGTTTGCAAAATGGCAGATTTCCTGAAAAGCTCATCTTTTGCCACAGGCAACTAAAAAGGAAGGCTGAGAGCCCAGAGAAGTCTAGATGGAGTCTTGTTTCCTTAAAGAACACTACTAATTAAAATACATCAAAGCGAGGAAAATTAACTAAAATACATGGTTCTCTTTCCCTGTAATATAGATGCATTCAGAGCTTTTAAAAAACCCAAGAAATAGATTATTCCACAACAATGACTCTTTAGCATTAGACCACATGACAATATTAATTGATTTCAATATGAACACAAGACCATGCCTCAGAAGAAAAAACAACGATGCATGCAAAGAATAAAAGGTTCCTCTCAGCTTTGGGAATGGAGGTCTCTTTGGACACCCAGTAATTAAGCAGCCTGCAGAATGCAATTAACACTTCATTTTCAGGAGAAGCTGCAAAACTTAAAATGAAAATAAAAAACTTAAAAAAAAAAAAAAAAAAAAAAAAAAAAAAAAAAAAAAAAAAAGAAAAAAGAAACCAAACCAAACAACCCCCCCTAAAAAACCTCACAACAAAATAAACCCAGTCTGCCACACTATCAAAAAACATGATCTAGGAAAAAATCACATCCTCTACCCTTAAGGTTAATTTACTTTTCCATTCCTACTGATTAATAATGCAACACGAGAAAGAACGTTTTATACTACAAGAGCAACTGATATGAGGAATAATTCAGCTCTGACTGTGACTGGGAACCTGGCTTGTTTTAACATGCAAAGACAAACCAGACAGAAGTATAAGTAGGATAAGTAGCTACTGTTATTCCTACCTACAGCACACTTTGGGACCCTGAACTGTGTCAAGTTATACTTGCAGCTCACAGGTGAAAAGATTGTGCCTCTGTCACTCTACGAGCACCCAAAGGCCATGGTACCTGATGGACTCCTGCAGAAGGCAGGAGATCAGACGGTGTAAGAGGAAGAGCCCATAGATCTATTCCGAACAACTGGAACCACACACTGCTGCCAATCTCAGGTTCACAGATGATTTTAAACCAATGAGAGGTGATGAGAACGAATAATGATAAGAGAGGATTAACCCAAAAACTGACCCTGTACTTTACACCCTCCTTTTTCCCTGCACGAGCCCAGGACATACCGCACGCGATGGACCAGTAGACCTGAGAGTCTGGAGTCTGGTGCAGGATGCGAAACGGGGCGACTTTCGACGTAGAGTCCAACACTGCATCTAATGTTCCCACCAGAAGACCTGTTGGGTTCAAGAAGATGTACATAGCACAGTGAAAGTGAAGTTTGGAAACGTACACTCCCCTCTTTTCTCGTTTCTTAAAGAACAGGAACGCTGCCCAAGTGAGGACTGATGAACTCTGAGAAAATACGAAGCACAATTGAGCTTGAAGTACTCCCGGAGGAATTTCTTTGAGAGGTGATGATGTTTAGATCCAGTAAAAGCCATTACAGACACACAATGAGGATGAAAAAGTTTTTTGATATGACCCCCATGGAAGAGACAGCCCACGCAGTGTGGGAAACCAGGGGACAACAGGAAACATAACAGGGCTGCTCCCAGCATTCAGTGAGCACAAGCAGTAATTGAACTACCTCTTAATTAGTCATTGACTGTTGTTCTGCTTTCCAATCACAGGAAAGAGCCCTTGGAAGACCATAATTGACTATGTCACCTCCCTGCCACTAAGTGTTAAATTAGCTTCCATTAAACAGAATACAGAACAAAATATACTAATTTCATTAAGGAGACAGACTTCATCTCTCCCGAACTGCAAAACGTTTCCTGGGAAAATGAATGTGCATTTTATACTGGCCAGCAAAATCATTCTCTCTCGCTGCATAGTAACAAAAATATTAACCCAGATATCTTAACAGTTCCTTTCAAATCTAAGAATCAGGGAATTCTAAAAGAAAAATCCACACTGAAGAACAAAAACAAGCTTTTGGTTCCTAATGCACAATAAAACATTTTCTTGTTACAACAGAAACAAAAATACAAGCAAAAGTATCTTATGCTTCTTTCCTGTATTTCCTATGTTTGCACCCTTCTAGCATGGCCACAGAATCGGAAAGTCCAACTGAAGCAAAGCTACTGAAGCAAACACACAAAGTTCTTATTCTCCTACCAAACAACAGCAAAATAAGAGATGAGATGCCCCAAAAAAGCATGACACAATTATCCAGAGATGCTGTTAAGTCTGTTCCACAAACCTGCTGAGATCACGGACACAAGGTATTCCCAAAAATGCTATTAGGGTAGAGAGCTGGCATGCAAAGTTAATGTATCCCTTACAGCACCTTTAAATCTTTAAATACCCTTCCCTGTTTAATGGAAAATGATCTTTTGATTCTGGCTTTTAATATACTATAGCAGCACTAGATTTAGAGAATTTCAAATGCATCCCTGAAATGTTATTTCAGAAATTTTAGGTTGGTTTCTTGTACTTTGTGATCCACTTTCTTTCCATTAACCCCCTCTCAAATTCTGAAAAACAGCAATGGTAAAAGAATACAAGAAAACAAAATATGGCAAAATTGAGATGTCTAGACACTCAGCCTCAAAGCATGCATTTCCTAACGACACACCTTCAGCACAGAGCATGTGGGACTATCTTACTGTGACTATTCAAGTTCCAGAATGCTTCTGTGCTTCTGCTTCTCTTCAAAACACAGAAGTAAATAATTATAAAAAAACACACACACAAACCCAAATAAAGAAACAAAAGCAACAAAAAACCCAAAATAGACCAATACATTACAAAATAGACCAATACATTACATCAAACAAAAACACTCTTTAGTCTTTATGCAATTCATAGACTGAAAGTTGCTGTTGGAAAGTATTTTTTAGTTCCTGACTGAAGAAAGACACTGAATAAGTAACAGCATTTATGTCTGTTTAAAGAGCTTTGGCTTACTGAATGAGTCATGACACTGAGCTGATCTCAAAGTTGGCTTTGCTTCAGCATTATTTCATTCACAATTCTCTTAACAACATTTTCTGTTATAATATACAGTACAAGGACATTTTTGAGCATTCATAAGGCTAATGCACCTCGGCTTGAGCCAAGGGTTACAGCAGCACACTAGAAAGCAGCACTCCTTAAAATGCTGTCACAGCTTCTGTCTACTTGGAAGGACATTGGATTTTAGACACACCAAACTGTACCAGGTCACTGCAGCAGCGCCACCAGTCAGTGCTGCTGTGTCCAGGAATGGGATCTTGGACTATCAACACTCCCTCAATACAGTACAAACTAATTCCATGGCTATGGCTCCTGGCACAACTGTGAGGAATAAGCAGAGGATCCCTCACCTTCTTACCCTTGTCCTGAAAGTGCTCCATGAGCTGCTGATGTTTGGAATACTTTATTATCAGTCAGGGTTTCTGTATCCTCAAGTTCTTGGGTGATTCTCAGGAAGCACTCTGCTGGATTGCTATTTCCCAAAGGGAAACAATTTCAGGGATAACCTACAGAGGGTCACCTACTTTCAACTCTGCTCAAAGTGAGACCCTACAGTCTCTCCTGGGGATTCCACCTAAATCATCCTTCTGCCTTGCTCGGGGAATGACTTCAACTGTACCTAGAGAAGGTGACACATATTTATGGAGAAAGGGCTCTGCTTTTAGAAAACATCTTCAGTTTCTTAGCTGCCTGAGTAAAACTACTGGGAAATACCTTGGATACTTCAGTAAATGGGCTAAAATACTCAAGGAAAAAAAATAGAGGGAATTCAGAATAGGTTTGAAACATGGACGTGTTCTTCACAGGAGTCTATAAAAGGCTTGGTTAGCAAAATACCAACATTGGCTCAGAGACATGCCCCAAAAACATATCAGCAATGGATTTTGCTCTCAGTGGTACCAAGTTAGGGCAATAAAGTCAATATATTACATGTCAATAACTGCTCAGCATTTTCCCATTTGGAAGCAACACCACTTTGTTCTTCAATGTTTATTTCACCAAGTACATCAAGAGAGTACTAATATTGGCAGAGTTTTGGGTCCATTTCAATCCAGTCTCAAAGATTTTTTTTCTCCCTAGAATAGCATCAGTTACAGCTTTTTTATTGCTAAGGGTCTGCTTTATTTACAGCAATCTGACTCCTTCCTATCCTTTGTGGGAGTAGTGTAATGCAAACACTAATATCAGTTTCCTTTAGTAATGAAGAATCAGAAGCAAACATGCTTCTGTCTTTTTTTTAGAAGAGCACTATTCTTCTGCAGCAAAGTTAGCACAAGCCTGGTCTCTCCTCTAATGCATATCAGTGCCTTTAAGATCAGTAATTAATTACAGTAAAAGTCAAGAGTTCTCCCTACATTTCTAAGCACACCACATATAACAAGCAGAGAAGACTAGTTCCAACCATATATTTCACTTTTAAGTTTTTCTACTCTCACAGTTGCATTTCACTTATCTTTCTCAAGCAGAAAGAGGCAAATTGAAACTGTGGAAGCAGAAAACAAACAATTTGTTTGCTCACATTTCAGTGAGTGAAAGGCTGCAATTTTATGACACCAAATGCTCACTCGCATCACTACCCCTGAAGTCCCCATCTCCTACTCAAGGTCCTGCCTGGACTAGAACCAAAGCAAGAGTTTTGTGACCAGCATGCTCAATCCCACTAGACCTTGGTTACAGCACACGCATTCACGACTGTATTCTTATCCATACACTCTGGAAAACCTGAGCACCTCTCCCAGAGTGGCTCTGCAGAAGACAGAACAAACAGAGGACGCAGTCACACAGTTGCACTGCCTGACACACAGTCACACTTTGGGAGAGTCCATCATATGACAGCTATCCGGTGGAGAACCAGTCAGACAGGTTACAGCACCTGTATCCTTAGGGGAGGTCTAGAATGGAAAGAGAATGAAATGTAAAGTTAAGCAGGTGCACATCTGCAGGAAGAGAGCCGAGGCTGAGCACAACCCGCCCAAGGTGTTTCTGTTCAGCTGTCCACCTGAGCCAACTCAGAGCTGTGCTGGGTGTGCACACAGGCCACAACAGCTCCCTGTGTCACCTACAGATTACTAACTGGTCCTGCTCTAACTGCCAGTCCAAAGGGTTCAACCAAACAAATCCCACTGCAGCCTTCATTCTACATCTAGGACTGCACCAGAATTCCCTGCCTTCCTTCAGGTAAGTGTCTCTGCTGTCATTTATCTTTTGCTCCTTGGTCTGTACCTTTCTCCAGGTACTGGTTGCTTCCTCAAAACTCACATCTCCCCTCCTTAAAGCCTGTCTAACCAAGTGTACCCCTGCATTTTGGGGAATCCTTTGCTGCCACCTCCTCGGTGCTATCAGTCCCTCAGTGCTACCAGTCACCTCCAGCCTTGTCTCACCAGCTGCAAAATGCTCTTCAAGAGAGCAAGATTTTACTGGTACATTTGTGATGATTTCCTAAGACAACAGCTGTGCTTTTCTTTCTCCTAAAGGAAGCTCTAATTTTCTCGAGTGACACACAGCAACATCAAATTAAACTTAGGCATAGCAAATCATGCTGGCTTATATCTAGAAGGTTTGAATATTTCAAAACCTGCAAACACAAACGTAACCACATTTTTATCCAACTGTCCTGTTAATCTTAAGGACATCTCACTCTTTTTGCTTCTGTCCAGTGAAAAAATTCACTTGCTCAGATGAAATCTGTTAAGGGTCTAGAAGAAAAGCTAGAGAAATAAAACACGCAAAGCCAACATTAAAAAAAAAAAGCATAGTACAACAACTATGCATCCAGTTCTTTTCCCACACTGTCAAAAGCCATCAAGGATAGGAGAGCAGTGAAAGAAGCCTCACCTTCACCAAAACACAAAGGGCACCAGGAAGACCCAGCTGTCTGCCCAGCTGTGAGCCTATGAAGAGGTTTTCAGATGAACAACTAATTCCAGTTCTCATTGTTCCATTTTAATCACAGTCCTTAAATGAATTTTATCATAAAAAAGACAACCTTCATACCAAATCAATTTCCTTGGCTTCCAAATATATCAAGGCAGAGAACAGACCATCAAGCCTGATCCTCACAAGACTTCCAAGCCTGCAATATATCATCCTTGGTCCTAAGCCAAAACCTTACATTAGTCATCTATCTATAATACTATTACATGCCTAGAAGACAACCTGAGGTTTTGGGATGCTTTCTTTTCACACTTTCCATTCGCCCTGCCAGTGGTTCAGATGCCAATGAAGAATGCCCCACCTCCAGCTGTGAGGGCCATTTCTACATCAGAAATTCACCAGCCAGAAGTTTGGACTTTGTGGTTTCATCCAGCAGAATTAATAAACGTTTCCACAGGACAATCTGGCTCATGTTTAACATAGCTTGCTTTAGGATGGTACACTTAGAGAGAGCCCAGAGAGACGCAAAACACTCGAGAACCACATCCCACCGCGGAAGAACTTTGGGCTGATTCCCTGTAGCTCTTTTCTCCTTGGCAGGGTCAGTGACAGACACCAGCAGACTATGAAGGAGTTGGTCCTACTCAGAATAGCCACCACCACCACAGAGGTCTCAGGTGGTAGCTGGGGCCCCTGCAGTGTCGAATGATACAAACAGACAAGAATTAAAAACAGAAACTCGGGTCCATGCCTTGAAGTTCTCATGAAATAAAGTTTATTATACAGTGATCAATGCCCTGTCACTTCCCGGACTCACCCCTCCCGACAAGCTCCATCAAACCACATACTCGCTTTTAAAATAAGCGACCAGAAATGCCTGAGCAGGAGTTCATCTCAAGCAGCCCCAGATGCACACAGGAAAGGGGATCTGGAAACGAGCATTTTGCCAAAGCAAGCCCGATCCGTCCCTTCTCCAGCCGCGTCCCCTTCCACCGAGCTGCCCGCGGAGCGGTGCCGGGCTGCGCCGGGGCACAGGCTGCTCCGAGCCCCAGCCCTGCCCGGTGTCCCCGCCGGGCTCTGCTGCACCTGGGGCCGAAAGGAGGGACAGAAGAGCCCCAAGAGAAACCCACGAAGCTCCAGGGCAGCCGAACGCGTTGGGCGGGGGTCCCAGGGCCGGTAGACCGCCCTCCTCCCGCTCCAGCCCTGCCCCTGCCCCTGGCAGTACCTGCCAGCCCGCCTCCGCCCTCCTCGCCGTAGCCCCGCCGCCTCTGCAGCACGAAGTACTGGTTGGAGCGCTCCTGCACCCACAGCTTGAGGGCATTTTTCAGCAGCACCTCCTCGGGCTTCAGCCACATCGCGCGGCCCCTCACGGCGCTTCGCCCCGGCCCCGCTCCGCGATCGCGGCTGCGGTGCCAGGCAGGGGAGAGCGGGGGGGGTGGTGGATGTGGGGGGAGCCCCGAGGCACGATGGGAGTTGTAGTCCTGTCCGCCGAAGGGGCTTCGCAGCGCTGCTGCCTCAGGACTACAGCTCCCGTCGGGCCCTGCGCGGCCGGGGCCGCGTGGCGGCCCTGCTGGAGCGGGGCGGGGGCCCGGGAGAGGGGAGCGGCCCGCCGGGGATCGGGGGGTTCTGGCACTGCTGAGCCCCCGGAGCGGGGATCGGGGGGGAAATCCCGGCACTGCTGTGTCCCGGGAGCGGGGATCGGGTGGTCCCGGCACTGCTGTGCCCCGCGTGCAGGGAGAAGCTCTTGCACTGCTCCCTCACACGGCCCCTGCCCCGGGCGGGGCGGAGGTTGCTGTGGGCGCTCTTCCCGTGGCACAAGCCCCGTGTTCAGTTCTGGCCCAGCCCGCAGGACAGGCAGACAGACAGACGGACAGACGTCACCGCGAACGGTGTTTGGCTCCCAGGTGCGTGTTCCTGGCTCGGCTCAGCCTGGCGCTGCCGCGGAGTCTGGGGCAAGGAGGGAAACAGGGAAAACCCCGGGGCCGGCAGGGATCTGTGAGCACCACCCAGCACGGCCCCCCAGAGCCCCCAGCTCCGGTAGCAGACATATGGTCAGTGTTTCCTGTTTACCTTTCACGTTACATAACGACAATCTGCCTCACCGCTTCCATCAGTCAGCAGCTAATTTGCCTTAACAGGAGCTTGAATCGTGGTCTCAGTGTTCTCATGATTTGCCTGCAAGACCTTCAGCATTTGTCCCTCAACGACTGGCTCTTCAGATTATCTGCAGACTGACTCTTAGCAGTTGTTCTGCGCTAGAATAAATCAATTTAACACGTTAAAGAACAAGGCAGTGGCTTTTATACTCGTCAGGGCTGCATTGGCATATCAGTTCTTTACTACAGTCCTCTGTTGATGTCTTCTCCCAATTTCATTGAATCATCATAAAATGGTTTAGGGTAGAAGGGACCTTAAAGATCATCCAGTTACAGTCCCCCTGCCATGGGCAGAGACACTTCCCACTAGACCAAGTTGCTCAAAGCCCCATTCAGCCTGGCTCTGAACGCTTCCAGGGATGGGGCAGCCACAGCTTCTCTGGGCAACCTGTGCCAGGGCCTCACCACCCTCAGGGGGAAGAGTTTCTTCCTAATATCTATTGTATATCTGCTCTCTGTCAGTTTAAAGTCATTCCCCCTTGACCTGTTAAAAATCCCTCTTTACCTTTCTTGTAGGCTCCCTTCAAGTATGGGAAGGCCCCAGTTATGTCACCCTGAAGCCAGGCTGAACAATATCAGTTGTCTCAAACCTTCCTTCCAGGAGAGGTGCTCTGTCCCTCTAATCATCCTGCTGGCCTCCTCCTCCAGCAGGTCAATGTCCTTCTGTGCTGGAGACCCCAGGGCTGGATGCAGCACTCCAGGTGGGGTCTCACCAGAGCAGAGTAGAGGGGCAGAACCCCCACCTTAACCTGCTGCCCACGCTGCTTTGGAAGCAGCCCAGGACAAATTTGGCTTTCTGGGCTCCAAGTGCACATTGCTAGATCACGTCCAGCCACCCATCCACCAGCAAAAAGAGCAGATTTAAAGAGCAGTTCCCTCACGTCCTGGTTTCAAAAAATCAGGTGCTAGGACTATTCTGCCATACATACCTGGCAGCCAAGAACTTTCCAAGGCTGTGGGATGACCTCAGGACCTGCTTTATATGGACTCTGGACAGCACAGCATAATCCCAAGCTTCCAAAAAAGTCAGGATCACAGCCACCCAGCTGCTCAGACTGTTACTGAGCCCCTGCTCTTGCTGGTTCTCCAATCTCTTCACTATGTCCCAAGGAGCTCCAAATGTCTCCCCGAAGCCTTACACTTGAAAAACATTATGCTTCCTACATGCTATCTTTTGGTACTGACAAAAAGCACAAACAAAAGCTTTGCAGGAGTGGAAGCCCCACTGTCTCCTCTAATCCAGGTTGCTGATGCTGGGAGCTTCCCAGAGTTACCATCTTTTGCTACCTCCATGCAAGACTCACTCCTAGTCCTGACAGAACCTGTCCTTTGCTGCAACTGGATTGAATAAATGCTCCTGTTTCTCAGGAACTTCCCTGCAGTTTCCTTCCCTTAGCACTCTCCTTCCAGCCTAATTGACCTTCCTGAGATTTCAAGGATAATGCTTTATTGATTGTGTATCTTACAAAAAAATCCAGCACACAATTGTTTAAACTCAGCCTCTCATTTGAGCTCTTTCTAAAAAAAAAATTGTGCACATCATGCACTAACTACAGGTTGCAATCTTGGCACTTTCTCTTTATCCTGCCTTCTTTCATGCCTTTCAATACCTTTCACTACCAAAAATGCTGCTGCCAGCACTGGTGTATTTGTGAGTGTCCCTGGTGGTGCAGTGGCTAAACCACAGCGTTGTGAACGCTGAGATCTGGGTTCAATTCCCGGTTAGGACACTCCCCGGGCAGATGGAGCTCGCTAGCCCTGTAAGGCAATCCATCTACGTCCTGAGGACCTCGCTGCCACCGTCCAAGCTTGCTTGGCCCCGGCAGATGAACCTCAGGATTAAAGGGTGGGGTCAGTTCCGCGCACACTGTGTCTCACCTAAAAAATCCAATGCGCAGGCTGGAAGGTGGAAAGACCTTCCCCAGTTCTTCGTTCGCGAAGAGACTGGCCATTAATTAATTTGTGAGCACAGGCACAGCGAGGTTTTGCCAAGCGCTCACAGAAATTGTTTGCCAATACCTGTCCAGTTCCAGCTGTGCAATAACCACCTACACAAGGGCTCCAGTGTGAAAGCAGACCTGAGTGTGCAGCCACATTTAACTCATGGGGAGGTTTCAAAACTGGGTGAAAAACTTTTTTTTTCTTTTCTTCCGATCACTCATTGCACCACAGCAAGAGAAGCTATAGGAATAAAGAGTTTTGCCTTTGGCACTGACTAATGGCTTAGCTAATACTATTCTCTCATCTGTTTTTGTAACAGAATAGGAAGCAACAAAATTTCTGGTGCTCTACCTTTACTAGGAAGGAAAAATTAAATAGAAGTCATTAACCAGCATGTGGTAACTAACACAGGTCAAACATTAGTGAGACAAGCCAAACAACTACCACATACACTGGCACACAGCTCTTCGCAGGGCAGTTTCTTCCATCCCCCACCTGAGTAACGGACATTGCTGCAGATTTAGCAGCTGAACCAACAGAACAGTTCCTGCCTGGATCCTGCTCTTCAAAGAGCATTCCCAAAGAGAGTGTTTACCATTAAATTGTCCACAATTAGACAAGCCCTTGGATATAAGAAATTAAGGACTTAATACAGATTTTCTGAGATGCCCTTGTCATTTCCTACTCTTTTAGCTTGGCTTTTGATGACTCACACGTGCTGGACATGTTAGGACATACATTGCTTGCTTATGTAAGACTCAAACTTTGTTAGTTGGATAAATATTTAACAGAAAAAAGCTACTGCTTGGAAAACGTCTGTTTGGTTTCTCTCTCCTTGTTTCAAGGTCTTGGATGCCTTCCTTCTTTCCAGTTCCCTCGGGCATTTGATTCTTAATCAAATACTATTAAGATGCAAAGAGTGCCCCTCTATCAGCTTGGGGGAATTTATTTATAGCCACTTGAAAACTTTCTCAATCAGTGCATAATCATGCTACAGTCTAATCAATGCATTCTACAGCAACAAAGATCCATTTAGTGCTGCAGAATTTTTCTTTCCCTTATTAAAGACCTCCTAGAAACTGTAAATTACTTCCCTCAAATAACCATAGTCAAGATCATATAAATAAATAGCTATATAAATAAGTGTTGGCTGCACTCTGCATATTTAACAATTGAACAACCAGTGCATGAATGCTGCAATTTAGTTTCAAGTTTCTCTTGAAACCAAAATTAAATTGCCAAAGCCAGTAGATTTTCTTTGGTTTCTTCCAACCTGCCAGCCATTACACCACTGCAGGAGTGCAGCCCCATTCAAACCTGCACAGGAAAAACATCAGTTTAAATCTGGGTGAAAAGACAGGGCTACCTTCTGTGCTGATGTGTATTAAACATGTAAGAAAATTATGTTAAATCACACAGCCAAGGTATCCTGTCCAACTGTTATTAGGTGACTTGAGAAGTGCGGACCTTTCCATCTAAGAGACTGAGATAGTCTAAGTCTCTCCATTTTATGGGAAGAGTCCAACTGCCCTTGTGACTCAAACTGCTTTTATTGTTTGTAGCCCCATCATAAGTCCTGCTTTTTCCCTTAAGCAAAAAAAATCTCAGCAGAAACTGTATTTCTATAGGAACACCTGAAAATTTCCCTCAGTATTAGAAAGTGGTATTATTTTGCTTTGGGGTTTAAAATGAAGTCCTGCTGTTGTAAAGCTTGGTTTACAAGACAGCACAGTAATCCAACACTAGGTGACAAGGCTTTAACTCCTGCAGGGATTTAAAAAAAAAAAAAAATCATTCCCAGTCCCCCTTTGAGAGCACATAAATGTTCAAGTGGAGTGTCTAGATCAGAGCTTTCCTGGGGGAGGGAGGTGACAGCAGTGAGTAAACACTTCCAGATGATGCTGGAGTCTGTTCAGTTTGCTCTTTGGGGGCAGAAGAATTGACATGTCTGTGTGACTCAATGGGAATATTAACTGAGCCAACAGGCAGACATTTTAGCAACTGTTAAAACTCATGGGCACATAATTTCCATTATCTTACACACAAAGTTAATGTATCTGTAGCAAGCCCCCAAACTACTGCACAATAACAACAGGTTTGTACTGCATTTCAGGAATCCTCAGGCACGTTCCTGTTGGCCTCTCTCTTAGAGGAAAGAGCCTGTTGTGCCACAGTGCTCAGATATATGTATGCATGACCCAGAGCCATTCCAGCCCGTAGCTTCACCAAAAACAAATGGAAAACCTGCTGCACAGTCCCCTAAGTGGGGTCAGAACAACAGCTGCTACCCGTGGAAGCTTGGAAGTGCAAAGTGAGAGCGGAGCTTTGA